ATATTTGTTATTTTAAGCCACAATGTTTAGGGTAATCTGTTAGAAGTAAAAAACTAAGGTGATTTTTGTGTACAACTCACACTCTGGCCTCCTCTCCCTTTCTCACATCTGCTTCCTTCTCTCCTTAGATTTTTCCTAAGATTTTTCCTCAATAGATCTCTAGATCCTCCTCCCAGGCTCCCTCAAATCACAAGAATCCTCTTTCCAGGCTCCACCTCTAGGGAACCAGCCTAAAACACTGAGGCTCAGAAAGGTGCAGTGACTTGTTCAAGGCCACATAGCCAGTGAATGGGTGTGGACTCCTGCCTCGGACTCACCATGTGGTTCATGGACTTGAAGTTGAGATAGGTGGGCACTTCCATGTAGGAGCTGCAGAGGGTCAGGATGCTCAGGCAGAAGTCCAGCAGCTGCAGGGTCATCAGTGGGACCCTGGAGGGGCCCTTTGGAGGACAAATAAAGACCAGCAGTTAAAGACCCAGTTCCCATGGTGCATGCAGCAGGTCTTTGCCCAAGAAACTGTCTCAGCTGGAAACCTCAGTGCTGCTGTAGTCCCCTTGTACACAGAGAGAAGCAGATGCCAGGATGTCACAGCAAGGGCTGGTGGCCGGTCTGGGTCTAGAACCAGGGCCTCCTGACTCACAGGCAGGGAGCTTCCACAATACAGCACCTTGGTTTCTTCTAGGACAACAGTCAGGGGACGTGGGAAAAGCAACTTTGAAGGGATCACATCCTTGACTGTCAGCAGCCCTCACGCACTGCCGCCATGGAGGCTTGTCACAGCCGGCCTTTCTCTCCCTTTTTTCAACTTGGCTGCAAAGGAGGGATCAAACTGGGGCTGGGGCTGACGGGGGGAATGTGCCCTTTCCTGCAGGATGACTTCCCACAGGGCAGCATTTACTGAGTGCTGACCACGTGCTGAGCCCCCTGCACACGTTTTCTTCATATAACGATGAGATGTGATACAGATGCATTTCACAGAAGAAGAAAGTTGGGGCAACTTGGAGGGGCTCGGGGACTTGTTCATAGACAGCAACTAGCAAGAGAGCTCCCACCCCACCAGTCCAAGCCCAGGGCCCGTTCTGGTTCCCTCGAGCTCCCCAGGTCAGGTACTCACAGCACGGCTCCTCCGGGAGGCCAGCTTGAGGTAGGCGGGCAGCTCAATGTAGGAGCCCAGCAGTGTGAGCACGCATAGCAGGAGGTCCATGACTTGCAGGGACAGGAAGGGCAGCAGGTACTTCTCCCGGTTCTGAAAGTTAAGCCCAGTACTGCCAGGGTGTCCCGAGCCCAGAGCCAGTGCCCCCAGCCCAGCCTGACATCTCCATGTGTCCCCCTCCTGCCCTCTCCCAGCTCAAGGGCGCCCCACGCAGGTCCTCATGTCTTCCTCTGAGTGACATTCTGGGGACAGGGAAAAGGTGAGACCCAGGCCCTGTGTGGGAAGAGCCTAGGCGTTGCAGATGTAGGGAACTGTCCCCACCTAGGAGGGCTCAGAGAGCAGGACCTGATTCAGTTCACTCACAAGAACCCAAAAAGAAAGGACTCTGTGTCCATTTCACAGAAGGATCAGAGAGGGCTTCTTGGAAGGGGTGGGGGGCACCAAGATAGACCCAGAAAGATGATTAGGAGTGAGCAGGAAGGAAGTGGCAGGTGCTGGAGCTGGACAGGCAGGAGCAAAGGCCTGTAGGCCCGAGAGAATCTGCTCCACATGAACGGGCAGGCCTTCCTCCCAGCCAGCCGCTCCCTGGGGTGTGAAGTCGTGGCAGGAGGCTCTAGAGGCCCAGGCTGAAGTTTCTCCTTCAGTTGAAAGCAAGTGACCATAGTGACCAATATCCGTGCACGTGCACCCACAGTTGGGGTAAAATCACAGAAAGGGGTGGTTTCCTGGTGTCTCATGTGATTGTCTAAAAGCGCTTGGGGGGACGACCCAGACTGGTCTCAGAGTCTTGAGGGACGGCCTACTCCACGTGTTTAGCTGGGCCACTGGAGTTTCTATACAACACCTGGACCCGCCCTGCATGATGACAGTGGCTTGTCCCAGAGTGCATGCTGGTTCGGGATTGGAAGGTGGCATTTCAGATAAATGGAGACATTCCAGATTCACACCAAATCATCATCCCACTCTGCCAGGACCCTGTCTGCCGAGGTGGGATCTCTCTCTGCACCCTGCTGCCATGGCTGTGTGGTGACACGCTGCCTTCCTGCTCTCTGGGGCGAAGGGACAGGCAGGTTCCTCTTTTGCAGGAGGTTGGCCCACAGCCTGTCTCAGCTCTCCTGCCAACCTGGTCTCAGATCTAGCAGCCCCTCAGTCATCACACTGGACTGTCCTTGCCTCTCTGAGGGTCTGTCTTCCCCAACCAGATCAGGAGCTCCTGGGGCACTCCCAGGACATGGGTCCCCTGAGGCGCTGGTGCAGGCTGCCCCGTGTGTGGAATCGAGCTGGATGTGCCTACGTGTTCTGCTGGGCTTGGGCCCCTCTCACTGATGTCAAAACCCAGTGCTTTCTCCTCCCCACACCACAAAAAAGCACTTCCTCTTTTCTCTGTCAGGATTCTCTGGCTCAATCTACAGTTTGAATCCATGCAGGTCACCAGCTACTTCTCGTCAAATCACTGGCGTTCAGTGTGGCCCCACACATGGCCCCGTGGTGGCCATATTTTAACAGGGAACTGAGGCCATGAGCCCAGGGAGTTCTGGGGAGAAGCGAGGCACTCCAAAACATAAGCATGAAGATGCCTGCAGTGCAGACAAGGTTTCCTAAAGTACCCGTCTCCCACCCACCCAGCGCTGCCCACCCAGGTAAAAAGGAAGGGGTGGCGGGGACCCCCTTCCTTCTCCCTGACCCAGGCCTCACCTTGACCACGCCGATTAGCAGGCTCAAGCTGATGATAAAGAGCATGGCTATGAGCAGGAAGCTGGAGATCAGGTCAGCTGAAAGGCAAGGGAGAAGCATGAGGGGTGCAGAGGGGGCTCCCAGAACAGCATATTTCAGGTAACACAGGATGATGTTACAGGGTGCCATGCTGGGGACTACGTTGGCCAGGGTGAGGTCAGGGACGATGTCCGTAAGAAGTCACCCACCAGCCATGGGGGCGGGGATGCTCCAGGCAGGGCCCGAGAGAGAGATGGGTATGTGTGGGCAGGGTGTCAGGGGGAGTCCACACAGCAGGGAGATGTGACCAGAGAGGTCAGGAGGGGCTGGATCTCACTGTGAGAAGTTTTTCATTTGACTCTAGTTGACGAGTTTAAGCAGAACACTGGGACTGTCACTTTACAAGCTAGTTGGGTTTACAAAGCACCATCCCATCTGCTCTCACAACCTGGAGACTTGGGTAGGGCCAAGTGGAATTTCTCCATTTGGGGATGGAACATCTAAGTCTCCAAGAAGGGACAGGACTTGACTTGCCTGAGGTCGACCAGCAGAGAAGCGGCAGGGCTCAAATGACCCAGCCCACCTACTCATGGCCAGGGCCCTCCCCTCTCCTCTCCCTCAGACCCCCTCCTTGCCCCTCCACCCACCTCCTTCCTCACCCCTCCTACCTCCCCCCCACACACACACACACACAATGCCATCAGCAGCCCCGGACCTACCCATTCTGAGGTAGCCCATCTTCGAGGACTTGCAAGAGGTCTTGCCGCGGGCCACCTCCACTGAGTGCTCAATGAACAACAAGACACTCATGACCTGGGGGCAGAACAGACAGTCAATAACCAGGGCTGATGATGTGCAGCTGGGGGTGTGGTCCTAGAGCAGCTGGAATGCCAGGTCAGGAGGGCATCCCAGATAGCAGAGTGGCCTATACAGACAGATGGCCCAGGTTTTCCTCCCTCTAGCTGTGTGACCCTGGGCATCCTACTTGACTCCTCTGTGCTTCTTTTTCCTCCATCTGTAAAGTGGAGACAATACTAGCAGCTCCCTTTGGAGGTTACCAGGAGGAGTAAATGAGACTGTCCTGAGAGAGCGCCGAAGCCTGGTTCTCACAAAGCAGGACCTGTTACTGCTGGAGGTCAGGCTTGAAGAGGGGTAAGAGCTGAGGGCTCCTCCTCTGCACCCCCTTTTATAACAATAGGGCACACGGGATCTTAGTCACCATGTCTGAGCACCACAGAGCTTCCAGTCTTAGAGTCTTTGGGACAGGCCTGGGAGCGCTCTGGAGAGCATCTGAGCCCTGCATCCCCAGAGTGCCCTGTGAACTCCGTCCCCCTCAATTTCCCATCTTCCAAATGAAAATAATGGTATTCACCTCATAGGGTTGTATGGGGGCCAGATGGGATGATTTACTTACAGCGCCTGGCAGACAGTGAGCACCCCAGCTGTGCAGGCTTTACTATTGCGTTATCCCCACTGGACTGTGGGATCCAGGCAGGCAAAGACCGTGTATCTCTTATTCAACTGCTGTAGTTGTCATATTTGTTGAATGAATGAATGAACCCCACACTTACAGAGGATCCTTGCTAATTACGACGGAGAAGGGGCATCTGATAGGCCTGAGTGTTGGCAATAATTGTTGGCCCAGCAACAATTAAAGTCCAGCCACCAAACTGTAGTTTGAAAGGAACTTGGAGGTCACCTTGTTCATGCCCCCCAGCTATCCAGCACAGGAAGTCTGTTCCTGTCCCCCACAGCCTGTACTTAAATGCTTCTGACAATGGGAACTCAGAACCTTCTATATGTCCATGTCCTTGCAGCAGGCACACCACCCTTCCCCCAAGACACATATACAATTCTCCAGGCACCGTCTGCCAACACTGAGAACAAGACTGCCCCCTCCCTTGTAGCGGGTGCCCTACCTCTATTAATATGGCCTAAGTTTATAGTGTCTTTCTAGGCAGTAACTCATGCTCAGCTGACAGGCACCTAGACACCCACCAGCTGTTTCCCTCTTGCTGACTGCGTGGGTTTTTTTAAGTTCAGATGTAGGTCTCAACTTGTCTTCCTGCCATATCACATCCTGTTCAGGGGGTTGGAAATGGTCAGAACAGAAAACTGATGAAGAACTGGGCTCTGAAGTCAGATGGAGATGGATTTGAATCCAGATCCCTATGTGTGACCTTGCCCAAGTCAGTTCACCTCTTGGAGTTTTCTCATCTGGAAAACGGCAGTCACTGGATTTAGTGAGAGTTAAATTGTATTTGCAAAGCACCAAGTTCAGGGCCTAGCAGCGGATGGTTAGCAAATAGAATCTGCTTTGGGCTGGTAAGCGCTTACATGGAGTATTTGAGCAACTTGCTCTAGCTGCCCATCTACCTAGTGCAGAGTGAACCAAAAAAGCTTTGTCTCACCACGAAGGTTAAGAGTAGCCCAGAGTGGAAGGCAGCAGTGGTGGGGGCTATGCCTGGAACCCACAGGAAACAGCCCTCAATGAGAAGAGCTGCTTCCTCAGCCCCCAAAGGTCAGAGCCACAGCACCTCTGTAGGGTTTTGCCTCTAATGAGGGAAGTGGAAAGGAGAGGTTGGTGACAGATCGGTCCAGCACAGAACAGGGTACCCTGTGAGTGGGTGAGCTCCCCATCCCTGGGGTGTATGAGCAGATCTCCGAAGAGTCACAGCTGGACTTAGAAAGGGCACGTGAACATCTATCCAGTGTGGTATGAGAAGACTTTTAAAATCCCAAGAATCCAGAATTATCTGAGACTTGAAACAAAGTTCAGGATCAGGCAATCCCAACTTCTCATTGCTGGAAGGGACATCCATCCACTTGCTTGTTTTATAAGCCCAGAGAGGCAAGGTGGTTTGCCCAAGGACACACAGCAAGTTGAGGACACATGGAAACTGGAGTCCAATCTCCCAGTGCTGTCCTGGTGCCTTCCCATTCCCCACCCCGCTCCCAAAAACACCTCAGAGCCCTGCCAGTCTGAACCCCAGAGGGCTGGGATCATTTGACCATGCACTTACGTCACTAAAACCTTTTGAACACGCTCTTCTATTTTTTTATTTCTAAATTGTAAGCATGCGTTACTGTTGTAGTTTATCACAAACATCATAAAACACACACACCCCCAAAAGGTCCAGAAATTAATAAAAGATAAGATTGAAAAATTTAGAAATTCTGGGTGGCGCCTGTGGCTCAAAGGAGTAGGGCACTGGCCCCATATGCTGGTGGTGGCGGGTTCAAACCCAGGTCCGGCCAAAAACCACAAAAAAAAAAAAAAATTTTTAGAAATTCTAACACTGTCATCTTGAGAGCCTGAGGTCACTTTGGCTTGGACATAACCCCACTTTGGAGACCATGCTAAGCCACAAGTCACCCAGCCTCAACTCCTCTGGGCTACTATTTCTCACTGCTCTGCCCCCACATGCAGGCCTGCCAACCAGGAGCCCAACTACCCCCTAAAACCACCACTTCTGCTTTTGTCCCCATTTCACAGATGAAGAAAGTGAGGCTCAGAGAAGTCCAGTGCCTTGCCCAAGGCCTCCCTGCTGGTCATCTGTAGATCCATGATTCAAATCCCGGACACGTGTCTCTACTGGCCGCCCATTATCTCCCGGCCTCCCAGCCCTACCTGAGCCCCACCTGCTTCCCCACACCCACATGGTGCCTTGGTGGGATCAGAGGCACCCCATTTCCTCTTCCCTCCACAGACCTCTCTCCCTCCCCTCAGCAGGAGCACAAAACAGCAACAAGCACCAGAGTGTTGCTGCTTTTGTCAAAACCACCTGCACTTAAAAACTAGGTTCTCCCTACCCCATTTCACCCTCTCAACAACACTTTGGTAGGGAGAGGAAAGAGAGTTTTGTCCCCATCTGCCAAATGAGAGCCCTGAGGCTCAGAGAGGGCAGGGACCAGCCCAAAGTCTGAGTGAGCCTGACCTTCCATGGAAGATGCTGGAAGATGCCAGTCCCTGACCCAAAAGAAAGGGAGAGGCTCAGCTCCCAGACCTGAAGTGGCTCCCTAGGACATAGGATGGAGAGGAACTCCATAGGATGTAGCGTGCGTCTACTGTGAGCTCCGAGCTTGCATGTCGCTCTCGCAAAACCCCGAAAGAGAGGCAACATTTCTCCATTTTACAGATGAGGAAATGGAGCCTAAGAGAGAACCCCCATGTCCTGTGCCTTGAGGCCCAGCTGGGCAGTGAACCCTGCTGCCTCTGCTTGAGGGGCCCAGGGGCCCCTCTGGGCTGGGCTGGGCTGGCCGTTCTGGGGCTCAGTTCCTGATTTCTCCAGACATCCGTTCCCTACTTCCAGCAGCCACACTCCAGCCCAGACTCCCAGCACTCAAGAGATAACTGCTGGGGCACAAGAGGCCTCCTCCACCGCCTCACTGTTGTGTGGCCTTGGCCAGGTCCTGGCTTCCCTCTAGCCTCAGTTTTCCCCTCTAGTCAATGAAGAGAGTCACCCCCATTTGCAGGCAGGGCCATGGGCATGGCTAAACACAGGATGGTCAGGGGAGTGGAACCCCTACACAATGCAAGATGTCACACCCGGGCTGTCCAAGGTCTCCTGGCCCTCGCTGTCCCAGGGCCTGTACCCTGACTCCAGAAGGCCCTCACTGCCATATCCAAGTCCCCAACCAAGAGTCACTGGAAATTCCCAGGAAGCACCTGGCTTACCTACAGCGTACACTGGGAGAGGCCGGGAAACCCTGAGAGTGTAGATCCCCAGGCCCCAGCCCTCGCTTCCCCTTGTGCCCCCTGGTTCCACCTGGACACAGCACTGTCCTCTTCCTGTGCTCTGAGAGCCCAGCTGGGCCATGACAGGCATGGGACTTGTCTCTTCCTATGAGCCCAGGTAGGCAGATCTTCTTACCCGTCCGTCTTTCCATCATGGAGTCTTTTCACCCACTGTTCTCAATTCTACACCAAGGAGGTCATGAATTAAGGGCTTGGGTGCTACAGCCACCAAGCTCTGTGCCCCTGAGCAAGGCTCTACCTTCTCTGAGCCTCTGCTCCCCACCGGAGAAAAGGGGAAAACCACTGGACAGGCCTCCAACATTCATCATGGCTGTTGGCGTCCCTGTGTGCAGAGCTGGCCACAGGGTGAGTGCTCCGGAGCAGGCACTGTCAGGTCACCACATTCGTTCCCGCAGCAAGCGCTCCTGAGTGCCCACCACCTCTGGACTCTGTCCAAGCACTGGCCCTGGCCTGCAGCTGTCAGTCTCTGGGGAGACCCAACAGGTGAACAGTGTGTTCAGACCTATGACGGAGGACACATTGGGGGCTCAGGGGCCTCAGTGAGGGAGAAAGCACTGGAAAAACTCAGGGAAGGCTTCACCAACAGGAGATCCCTGAGCAGGGCTTCGAAGGACAAGGAGTTTTCACAACAGCACAGAGAAGAAAGTGCTCCAGGAAGAGGCAATGCAGGGCACACAGGCCTGAGGCCTGGCAGCGCAGGTAAGCTCACATCCCTCCATGGAAACTTGATGGGGAAGGAAGGCCCAGAGAGAGACAGTGACCAGCCCAAGGTCACACAGGAAGGCTGCTGCGGTCAGACCAGCTCTGTCCCCGCCTCCAGGCCAGCCCAACAGCTCCTTCCCACTTCACTCTCTCTTCCCCTTTTCACCTCTTCCCTCTGCCTTTTTCTACTCCCAGTCCCACCCAGCCCTCCCTTCTCAACGGCTTCCCTGCACAGGGCGCTGAGGGCAGCGGCCAGACAGGCAGAGAATTTCTGTTTCTTTTCCTGGTGTCTCAGAGAAGCAACCACAGCTTGAGCTAATAGAAGGGAGGTTGGGGGAGGTGGGGGGAGGTG